TTGTTTGTATCACTATAGAAAGACGACATAAAGGTTATAGAGGTCAATTTTATAAATTAGAGGTATTACCCTCGGTACCAGCATCACCATATGAAGATGAACCAATTATATAAAGGGGCTTGTAGGTCAAGATCAAAGTGAGTTGACATTCGATTATAAGTTTTGTTTGTTTTCAACATCATATGTAATGAATATTTCCACCCATTTCCTTTTCTGACTTTACGGCGGAGGCATACAGGAGACGCAGTCGTGTTTGTTTTGTTCTTATTTATGTACAGTATGTTAAAATAGTGATAGTATAGTGGAACAATAATAACAATTTGAAAGGTTGCATTTCTATTTCATTGATTACAAGAGCAGTTTCCGGCTTGGTTGTTCCAATGGCTACCTTTCAGATGATTTTGATAAGTTTTTCTCACAGAGGCTGACAATCGAACATTGGTGATGGCGATGTTAAACAAAATAATATATAATGTAATGAATGTGTCATATGTAGTAACGCCACTATGTGTAAGGAACGAGAAGAAGCCGCAAAAAGGCATGTAAAGGTTGTGGATGTGTTTACATATTTATTTTGCAGGTGAATGAAATTCAAGATCGCATTGATGGACTGATAAAGGACTCAAAGTATATGAAGGATCCGAAGCCAGTTAGGTGGAGAACCTTTTTAACTGAAATAGAGGGCAGTGATCAAAACACCCTAACAGTGACGGAGGTAAGCAGAGCAGGAATTCATGAAACTGCCACATTGTATATTACATATACATCATATCTAAAGAGTGCTTACAAATTTAGAGAATGCAAAATTTAATCAATAAATTAATGTAGCACAAAAGCGAGGTGCATCAGTGTCGTAAGAAATAAACACTGAGAAACAAAATCAATAGAACCAAGGGAGAGCGGGATGAACAGTGGCTTATTTAACAAATCCGGGAGAGGCAAATAAAGGGAAAAGGGCACAGTCCGAATCTGATCTGCTAAACTTGAAAAGAGAAAAATATTATTAATGACGTGCCTGGATAGGGTTATATTTGCGAATGACTAACAAATAACAAAGATATAAAAAGAGGACATCTCATGAAGTCCACGTACTGGCCTCGTTATCACGATATCCCAAGAACCATGAGAGATATGAGGCTAAAGCTTTTGTATCAGCCTCAAACTTGGTGATTGTGTGTAGCACGAAAGGAAGACAGTCTCATTAGATTTAAGGTTAGTGGGTCAAAGGTCACAGAGGTCAATTTATTAAACTAAAGATTTGTTAGCCTTGCTATTGGAATATCTCAAGGACCACTTGAGGTAAAAGCTTCAAACATCGTAAACGTATAAAACACCATAGGAAAACAAAATATGATGATTTTGGATTGATTTGGTTAAAGTTCAAAAGTCTGAGAGGTCAATTTCTTAAACTAAGCCCAAATAAATAAAACAAAACATGTTTAGCGTCATGCTTTTTTTACAAATAGGAAGGAAGAGCCCTTTTTTCTTCTTCTTCAAAATGGCCGCTCGAAATGGCCGCTCAGTACATTTTCCCCGACAGCCAGGCTTTATTCAGAAATAGATCCATTTTAGCAGTGTTTTTTTTTTTCTAATTCAAATATTCAACAAAAAAAATACGATTTCAAAAAAAAAAAAAAAAAAAAACAGGAGTCGGCCCCCAAAAGAAAGCGGACGGGGACGCTAAACATGTATATTTTTGTTAATTGCCTAAAGGTTTTTATTCTCGTTATCACGATATCTGGGTATCTCAAGAACCACTTGAGGTATCAACTTCAAACTTAGAGGAAGTGTGTATCACCATAAGAAAACCATGTAATTAGAGTTTGTAGTATCAACGTTTACAGATGTCAATGCCTGAAATTAGAGGAATCAGCTTTCATTTTGCAATATTTTAAGAACAATTACAGGTACGAGCTTTGAACGTTGTGATAATGTGTATCACATAAAAAACAATGCCATTATATTTGATTTTTACTCATTTTTTTCAAAACCTTTAACTTCATGGTGATGCATCTCATTACCTTTGCTATCGTACTTTGTTTTTGTATGCAAAACCATGTTTACTTTTAATCAAAATGGTAAGTCAGCCAGCGAAATGATCAACCTCCTCTGCCCATTGTCTCTTTCTCATTTATGAAGGACATTAATTACTATCCTTTGTGGCTATTCGATGTCAAATAACCCTGTTTTAATGAATGATAAAAACTCGATCAACGTTTAGATAATGATATTTACTGCCATTAACTGTCATTACCACCTCTCAAAATGATTTGATAATGATATTTTAGTATCCTACATTGCAATGTCAGGAGCTTATCTACAAATCATGAAATTGTATGCTTACTCCATTCTTATATAAATAGTATTATCTCCGTTATGAACATTAATGAAACTTAGCTTTCTGATCATCATTCACGCTCTAAAATTGACATCCGCTCAGACAGAACAACTGGTCGTAGAGGAGGAGTCGGCTTTTTTGTATCAAACTCATTATCATATTGCTCCGGTTGTCTCATTTTCGCTCGCTGGAACATTGCCAGCACAAACCACTGACCTCTACCTCCTGGACGGATCATCGCCCATTTCCATTCATTATACGTTACGTACTAAAAGGCTGTATTGTCTGACCGTTCATGAATATTCATGTTTTTGCTTACCTCGGCAAAATGTTTGCTTTTACTAAATGGAAAATGACGGTGGGGGGGGGGGGGGGGTTGGATGAAATGGACATAATGAACCAAGCAGAAGTGATTTAGGATAATTCATGCTTCTTATCCTTCGTGTGCTTGACCTATAATCTTAAAATCGCTTGTCAAAATGAGTCCAAAGTTCGACTTGTTTCACAAGTGTATTATAGGCAATGACGAGCTTGCAACCTATTTTGATCAAATTACGGTAGGTGAACTTTCAAAAGTCAATGGGACATGAGGGTTCCAATGAAAGAGCTATTGATAACGTACGTCTGGGTGGATGTGCTTTTCGTTTAAACCAAAAATGATTTTTTAACGATTTAGGGGGTAAAATTCCATAGGCTAACATGTTAGGCTGCTGACTCTGACGATAGGGGGCGTTGTGAAATGAGACTAAACGGAGCTATATGCATATCGTGGCGTATATTTTGTCTAGATTCCTTCTCGAACATATATCCTTATCACTTTTTTCAACCGCACTAACCCTAATAAGCTAATTAAGGTAACACATGACCTTAAGAGTAATAAAGCACGATGTCACCACAGAATAAATGCATTGCTCTTTAAACAAATTATAGGCTTATATGTAATTGATTCTCATCTATCTCACATTTGTAATATTTCCTTAATATCATCCGGTGAGTGTCTTAACTCTCTGAAAATTGCTAAGATAAATCCGGTATATAAAAAAGAATATCCACATGAAATAGGCAATTATAGGCCTATATCTATCCTGTTTAGTATCTATCCAAAATTCTCGAAAAAATAGTTATAATTGGTCATATACATTTTGTTATAACCAAGAAATGTTGAATTAAAATCAATATGGTTTCAGAAAATCATATACCACTGACCTAGCTTTGGTTCAAATGTATGGTAAAATATTAAATGCAAGGGCCAATACAAAACATGTATCGGGGATTTTTATGGATTTGTCAAAACCTTTTAATATATTACAATATTTTGCTAAAAGGGAATATGTCCCATTTGCAGGCAAACAAAAATAAAAAGGTTAAATTTCAACAGCCTTTGATAGACAATACTAATTTAGAACTTCCCTCAAAACGAAAGGGCTTTAAAATGGCTTTTAATACGAAAATAACGACCATTAGGTGTCGAATCGACATATGTGATTGCAATCACCTAAGTAATAGCTTGATTTTAAGACCCTTTTACCGAATGGTCGTACGTTTTTTGCTGCACACAGATTCAATCAGTCTAATTTTGGCCATTTCAAGTAGTGGGTTATTGATGTAGACAAATGTTATTATCAAAGAAAAAAATGTCTGTCAGTCACTCAATAGTGTGTGACATTAAAGTCTAGAAGGTCAAAGGGTTTCCTTGCATCATTTGAATACTAGGACACTGCTAATGTTTACATCTCACAGATAGGACATACATGACATTTTCATTATTCCTGCAAAGTTCTACAGAATTTGATGTGGGCTGCAAAAGGGACATAGTATCTTGAAAGGGATAGTTGAGTTTTATTGCAGAGGGCGCTACACTAACTTTTTGTTGTGGTGGTGGTAGTTATTTTGCCACACTGCTAAGAAAGCATAGATGTTTGTAAGTAAGCAACCAGACGGCCGACGGATTAGGTCCTCTCCGAGGCACCTGGTAATGAGGATTAATGCCTTACCAAAGGACACTAGCGCATCGCCTTGGTTTCGAACCCGGGTCACCGGATAGTGAGACCACTGCTCTACCGACTGAGCTATCGCGCCTCCTCGAACATTCAATTTAAATTACAATATCATCTTTGTTTTCATCTAAGTCGGGTCAGAGACGGCTGAAATATCCATAAATGTAACAATTTATATTATTGTAGTGCCCCACAAATATCCGGTAATTTTGAACCAGTCATTAAAAATATGAGATAGCGCCTTATACGTCTTATTTCAGCCCATGCCAATATGAGCACAACAAAACATAGCCTATTTGAAGCCTATTGGAGCGCCTTGAGCACCTTGCGCTGTAGATATGTGCTCTATAAAAATTGACAATATAATTGTTATTAATATTTTGTATTATTATTGCTTATTGTTGTTTATGTTTATTGTTCATTTTGTATTATTGTTAATTATTCTTGCTATTATTATTATCATAATTATTATTATCGATTCTAAATGTATTTTTAATTGTTGATTACTTGATTTAAAACGTATTATCACCTAGTGGCTTAATTTTGTGAACCCCAAGAAGAAGAAAATAAATTGATCGAAATACATGTACATAATTATAGAAACGAAATACTAGAAAATCGGTACAATTGGTCAACAGACTTGTTTTGATTACATTATTACACAGGCACGCTCAATCATGACAAGTTTGGGAATCAGCGACAACGAAATGGATGATGTTCTACAGTTCTACCATGACATAGGACATCTGATATATCACCAGGGATGTGAGCTAATTGTACTTCAGCCACAATTTCTGAACAGCATCGTCAGTAATATCATAACAGTCATCGATGACAAGAAAATGGTTCGAAATATTGTTTACATTCGTCTCACATTGTGTACTAAATATGAAAATGAAAAAAACATTATTACAAAATATGAAGAATGAGCGGAGTGAAAACTAAAAGAAGGACTACAAAGTTAAAAGTTGTTTAAATAATATTATTAGTAATTTTTCTGGAGGATATGGGAGTATTAACATGTGTGTGTGAGCATATTATAATATATTATATGTATATATGTACAGTTCCTTTAAAAAGTTTGGGCACACCTGTAATCAGAACCAATTTTTCAAAAATCACCCACGTTTTAAATTCAAATTTTGGGCAATGCAACAATGTGGAATCACACTGAATTGTAGAAATCAGCATTCAAGTTGACGCCAGTATACCAATTTGAAAGCGATTTGTGTTACAAAGACAACCTCCCCCTGCCACCCACCCCCCCCCCCCCCATCGAAAAAAAAAACGAAGCAGATATATTAATTATGGCTGCAAAAATGCAGGCACAACTAACCAATGCAGCAACCTTTTGAGTTGGATGTTTATTTTTGTTATCTGTTATTTATTTGTTAATCTTTTTTTCTTCTGTAATATTTGTGTTATTATTATAATAATAATTATTAAGTTAATTACTATGGTAATGATAATTATTATTGTTATTATTATTATTATTATTATTATTATTATTATTATTATTATTTATTTGTATTATTATATTTTTTTTCGGGGGGGGGGGTTATATATATTAGTGCAACAATACCCGAAATGCTTTATTGTTTGACTTGTGTCAACTTCAATGCTGATGTCTACTCGTCAGTTTGATACCAAATTGCTGCAGTGTCATAAATATCAAGTACGAAGAATGAAACGTGGGTGATTGTGAGAATTCAGTTCTGATTACAGCTGAACCAAACATTTTGGAAGGCAGTGCATTTGTACATTTATAAAGGTATATATACAGGCGCGGGGCCAGGTAAAATTAACTTGGCGACAGCTTTCATCCTTGAAGCCTAATTTGCATAAAGTAAACAACTTAGATGATGCTTGTAAGTGTCGGCTTGCATAGATATACAGTAGGTTTGCGGGTGCACCATGTGAGAGAGAAAGAGAGAGAGAGAGAGAGGGTTGAGGAGTCCTGAAAAGGACTCTGACTCGAGGACTACTCACCCCAAGAAAGATTACCGAGTCAGAGTCCTTTTCAGGACTCCTCAACCCTCTCTCTCTCTCTCTCTCTCTCTCTCACACATGGTGCACCCGCAAACCTACTGTATAGTAAACAATTTGTTTACGCTAAACCACTACGGAAGAATCTCAGCTTAACTGTAAAATCTTGCTTTAGAAACCCCTAAACGAAATGATTGAAATGTCAAATAGAAGAAGAAGACAACCCCTGTCAAACCGGCCTGATTTTCATCGGATGCATCCGGACGCATCAAATGAAACGGCCAGTTAGAAAGCAACAGAGGAGAAAAAGGCGATTAAATAGCCGATGAAAAGAAGAGAAATAGGCGATTAAATTATTCTGCTCAAGAGCAGGAGAAATTCTCATTCTATCGGTGTGACACCGATGAAACGGCCAGTTAGAAAGCGTTCGGGAGAAAAAGGCGATTAAAACAGCGATTAAAATGGTCAAAGGTCGCAGTATACGCGCGCTTTATCGTAACCAGCTGTGTTTGTTGACTTATGGTTGAACATACTGCATGCTAGCTAGAATGAGCGCGGGCTTAATAATTACGCAATAATTCTTCACTTCCAGCAAGGGCTCGCCACAGCGAGTGAATTCCACCGGCAGTTAGAAAGCGACAGGGGGAAAACTGCGGTGTCACCTTTGTTTACATAAGGAACATTCAATGGGTAATTTCATCGGTGTGACTCCGATAGGGGCCAGTTAAAAAGTAGTATAACTCATTATTATTGAAACTCATTATTATTGCAGTTAGTTGTTAAACCCTGTTTTAATATGCGAAAGTTGGGCAAAACAAAGCGCCATTTTTAGTTTTCTGAAAATATTGTAGTATTTCTCATATTTTCCGTCATTAGGCCAGATCAGTACTTTCATAAATGATAAACCAAAATATATCAAAGCTCTCCTCTAAAAATCTGTTCATAATTGTGTTTTTCACGGCTATCCCTGGAAAAAAATGAAGGCAATGTCATCAACAAACCCTTGGCAAAACCTTCGCGGAAGCGTAAGTGTAGTCCCTTATATAAGCTTGGGGTAAGTGCATGAGAGTTGTAGTGACACACAGCGTTTAATATACGTGTACGTGCATACTGCAGGACCGTTTGAGCTGGACTCGGGTGTATGAGTAGGCATAAAGAGCATCGAGGGTTTGGTCTTTGTAATGACCTCAGTAAAACATGCTGATGTGTGGTGGAAACTTTGCAGCACACAATGACTTAGGCTTATAAATAAATTAGTATGGATACTGTGAAATACATCTGGTGGAGTTGCCGCAATTGTAACTCAATTCTTAACAGGACTGCAGCAGAACTTGATTACAGCCACAGCGTAAAAACAGCTGATCGATGACGCATTTTGCATATATGGCACAGTTTTAAATGAAAATTAATTTCAAGGATAATAAAATCATTTTGTATGTGCCGTAAAATTTTCATGAGCTTCAAGCGATTATAAATTGTTGACGAATTTTGTCCCTCTTCCCGGACAGGGCCTCGCTAGCTGTTACAAAGTCAAAAGCTTTTACGACTTTTCGGGGTTTTAATTGCGCCCTGGACCTGCGCCTGACATATTTAAAATGCAAAGAATAACAATGTCCGATGAGATTCAGAGTGCAAATAGTTTGTGTTTAAATATGTAAATTTACAACACAGGATGTAATACACAGGAGGCATGAGTCGTTGTTGTTTGTTGTTGTTTTTATTTCCGTATAATAACATCAGATACAAATACATATAAAGTAATCATACAGAGAAAAGGGGCCGTATACGGCTGGTAGCCCATTTTCAGCTGCAACTATATTGTTGCTGCTGGTCTTCCAAAGGGCCATTTTATATAATGTGCAAAACATACATAATATTAAACATTAACAGAATAAATTATTACAAAGTATCAGTCGAAAAAATAATATAAATAATTAAAGAAAAAGAAGAAAAAAACAAACAACAAACAAAACAGTAAAACTTCACAAGCGCTTCCAAAAAGCTCCCCTCAGGTGGAGTGAATATTGAATGGTTTTACAAAGCTATGTATACAGTGAATGTTCTCACAGTTGTATTCAAATTAGGACCAGTATTATTTTACAGAGTTTATTATCCTAGGTTTCTTCTTTTCTTCTTAGGATTAGGTGTTCATGTGTAAGGGTTGTTCTAAGACAATTATCCCCTGGGCGATCACCCCTCGGAAAATCACCCCCGGTAAACTTCGCCCCGAGGACGATTCCCTCCAGGATAACTACCCCCTCCCCCCGTGGATAATCAGGATTCAACAGCAAAAGACGATTTTACTCTAGATGGTTACGATCCCATACAATCTCATGCATGAACCCACATTCGTTGAATCACTAGCACGTTATCTACCTCATTACTACACAATTCGTTTTAATTATAATTTATGCAACACCAATGCAGTTCCTGTTTTCCATGATGGATGTTAGTTTTTAGGTAATTGTCCAACGCGTCTCAAAATGCTTGGAAATGCATTTCTCTGGAGCAGCGTTTTTTAATTTTTTTTTGTTAGTCACGGTACCCTCTTAAGGAATAAAAAAAAGCAGTGCTATGTAATAATAATAATAATAGTGGGTTCTTGTCTGTCAGACTTGACACTCCTGTCGCTTCCGATTATTAGCCTGGCTTTTAAACACGGCTGCCATTAAGGCGCTCTAGCATTACAATGAATTAATTTCTGCCAGGTACCAATTTACATCACCTTAGTTAAGTTTGAAAAATGTAGATCAATGTCTTGCCAAAGGACAGTAGTGCTGCGGCGTGACTCGAACCGCGGACCTTGTGATCGGCAGTCCGGTGACATATCCACTCGACCACGACACGTATGGGCACATTTGTTTCTTAATTTAGCGAACGAGCAATAATAAAAAAAAAAGGAGAAGACATTTTCAAAACGGTGAAAGAATAGTTTGTAATCGACACACTAGAAACGATTTAAGGTACATTATGCGGGCACGTCGCCGCCGAATGTACGTGAATGAAATATAGGTATCCAGATTTCAGTCCATTTTGTGTCCCTTCTCCCTCCCCTACCCGATACAGTAAATACAGCTTCATGTTTATGGAACATTCTTTTATTGGTATATTCTACTCTTCAAAGTGTAATAGTTTTGTAAGAACTTATACACAATTACTAAGAATCTGTAAAGTTTATTTTAAAGTGTTTCCGTTTGGCTTTTGAATGAGTCAACTTTCCGATGCAGTAAATCTCATTATTTCTTGTATAAGGATACTTTTCACAGCATGTGTATTTGACAATGGGCAAAGACTTCCATATTTGTATTCTCTATTTCATGATTCAACAACTAGAAATCTGTATAATGGGAACGAATAAACATATCGAATTCAAATTTGGTAAAGTTAATACAGTGCTTTAATATTTCTTTGTGCATTATTAATATTAATATATACATTCTGATTTTTTTTTTGAAACGTTATACTCTTAATATTTCTGTACCTTTCATTATAACCTAGAAAGGGGACCTAGCCAAATATTGGACAGATCTCTTGGAAAAGGGTATTCTTAGTATAGAATTGATCCAAGATGTTTGGGAGGAACACAAAGGAGTCCATGATCAGCTCAATGACATTATTGACATGATGATCATATTTGATCTGATCTGTGAAATACCAGATATGCATGATGGGGTAAGATGTATTCACGATTTGCATTTAATTGTTTCAGTTGAGGTTCTCCTCCGATCGTTATTTTTACACAAATATATTTTGCCATTGGAAACTATTCACTGATTAGGGGAAGGTAAGAGATGTGAAGATAAACTTTATTCATCTTAACACAACCGTCTCTAGTCAAAACTACACATCGCAATATCTGAGACTTAATATATTAAGCCTTAAGGTTTCCCCTTCTCTTGAGGACTCCCAAGGTTCACTCCCTTAGCCATATAATCCACAAAAAAGTACTCAACACCTTTCACAATTACAGTTTTCATATATTGGTATGCGTTGACATCTAGTTCTATATGATAACATTAAAATAATCATCTTGTTTCAGAGGAGACGGTTCTTCGTTCCCTGTCGTTCCTCTCCCATGCTTCATGATAAGGAATGCTACGACAAAGACCATACAGTCGAATTTACCATTGACTTCCATCACTTCTTACCAGGTTGGTTATTTCATTGTTGTTCTTTTTACCTATTAAAAAGAGACTTTTGTTTCATTTGGAAACCTAACAATTTCAACGGCTGGTTCAAAATTATCAAATATTTATTTGTCCCCCAAATATTCGAAATAGTTATATTTATGGATATTTCAGCCGTCTCTGAACCGATTTAGATCAAATAAAGATATTTCGTTATAAATTTTAACTGTATGCTCTTCAAATTTTGACACTCAATTTCATTATCTCAAAAAAAATAATTGTGTAGTGCCCTCTATGTACCAAAACCCCAACCATCCATTCAGCAACATTATGTTTTTATACCCTTTTTTGTGTTTTCAATCATGGTCGACATTGTTTTTATCATTATAATTATTATGTTTATCTTTATAATTATTCTTTAGTTAATATTACATTTATTTCTTGTAATTATGTATTTTCTTGAATATTATTTTAACGCCAGTGGAAACCAAATTTCTTTGTTACTTGTTTGCAAAGACCAAATAAAATATCTTGTATCTTTTATTAGTATTACGATTATAATTAGTATTACGGTTATGATTAGTATTACGATTATAATAAGTCTTATCATGACCAATATCGTAATCATCTGTCATCATCATTATTGTTTTTGCCGTTCTTATTACTATCTTATCTTTGTATATATTCTTCAGTAACAAGCCAATTCTGATTTGTAAACTGTCCAAATATTTACAATGTTGGGGAATCCGTTGTTATTTAATAGATGGTTTCTTACACCGGTTCTATGTTCGAATGGCAAAATGGTCTATGAAGAAAAAGAAGTCTATCAAACCAACCTTCCACTGCAGGGAAATGGTGTTCTATGTTGATAGTCGTCATAGACTGGTAATGACGAATGAGATCAACAGTACAGAGTGTCATCAAATAAAGGTACTTACATGTACCACTTTACCATACTTGTTGACGTTTCCTTATGGTTTGAGAGTTATCCATATACCTGACAGAGGTATACCTGTATTGATCCTGCTGCATAGTATATTTTAAACATTGATTGTGGAATACCTCATGATCTGACGGAAGAAGTGGACTGGTGTAAATTACATCTTTACGCCGATGACACAGTGATCTTTTTTGCTGATGAATAATATAGTGTAAAGAAAGTCAATCTTGATCTACGTATAGTACTCAGTTTTTTCGTAAGAAGGCCAAGCTGCAAGGATTAAATGGTTTTAGAAGAAGCTGGTAAATCACACGAACAGATCAAAAAAGGTTTGAGGGGAATCAGACAAATAATAAGCTATGATGTTTTTATTATGGATTTCCATAGTTTTCCATGATTTTCCACGTCAGAAAAAACCGGGCATGGTGGCTCAGTGGTTAGAGCGCCCGCCTCATGAACGGGAGGTCTTGGGTTCGAACCCCGGTCGAGTCATACCAAAGACTTATAGCAATGGGAACTTCTGCCTTCTAGCTAGGCGCTCAGCATATTAGATTGGAGAAAGATAGTAATAACATATTATGTTACGCAGGGCCCGCTGGAAGAGCAGTTTGATAACTGAAGTGGCTACCCTGGGTAAATAAAACGTTATTATTATTAACGTTATTATGATAACGTTTAATATGTGTTGTCTGATTTTCCTTTCAATTTGTGTTGTTCTGTTTGTCAAATATTTCTGCTTCTATTGAAAGCAATATCTGTCTGGGATCGGACTTTGTCTTTAATAGTGTCAATGTAAACATATCTGGCAAACGAATAACCCAAAGTGAAATTTTTTAAATATCTTAGCATGCATCTCACTTCTGGAATAAAGTGGGGTATTTTAATTGACAAAATGTGCCAGAAAATTATTGAAGTAGTAAAAATCGTAGCTCGCAATGAAGTAAAAATGTTAAGAAACGAACATACCCAGTACAAAATAAGGCTTTTTTTTTTCTTCCAGAGTTGATCCTTTCAATCGTATTTTTAATAAAGAAATTCATACTAGATTAAGATGAAAATCCCCACATATCAATGTTATAGAAGTTTTAAGTGATGGTCTATTAGTCATTGCAAGGTTTTGCTCATCTTTTTTTGAGGAATTTCTAAAGTTGTGTCACTACCCATACTGTCTAACATGTCAAGGAAAAAAAAAGACAGAGTGTGTGCCGTATTGTTGTTATATGTATCAATGATCACGTCTATACAATTACTTATCTTTAGATGTTAAACTTGTTCGCGTATATCATTATAATACAATAGGTGGATATCGAGCAGTGCTCTTTTCATGGAAAAATATCAACATTACCTCAGCATAGGTCTTCGAAACGCTGCGATAATATTATTAACACCTGCAATTGCACATCTATGTTTCATACGATAAAACATCATGAACATGATCAATGCAATGCTATGGGCAACGTTTTCCTGATAACGTTTGAAGAGAATTTACATATCATACCTCTTAGAAAAGCAGAAAAGTGGAGTACAGGTCCGATCTCCTCTGATTTTATGAAAATGGATATTCGATCGATGATATTGACACAACCTTTTCTAGGGTGAACTAAAACTCTGTTACCCTTATATAACCATTTAATTATTTAGTGATGTAATCTATTATTCCTCTAAAATCCAGGTAAAATAATAAAAGTACTTTGGGGATATACCTGTATATTTCTCATAATTTTTTGTTTACATCTTTATCACAATTAATTGTTTTCATCTTCTCTTGTTGTCTCAATAGGTAAATGTAAATGCAGTGGTCCCATTCAGTGCGCAATCGGAACGAAAACCAACCACAGTCAACTTGAATGAGAACGTAAGTATCAACCCTATCAAGCCAGGGAGGAATAGGGGAGGGGTTCTGAGTCCATTCCACCCTTGAAGTGTGCCTCGCGACATTGCATGATATATATGTATTTTTTGTTTATAATGCAAGCTTTCAAGATGTTATTGCCGAGAATCTTTCGCTTTTTGCTATGCCAAATTTATACAATTTCGACCACTAGGTACCGCGCAACATCAACAATTGCGGACAAAATTACAATTGGTCTTAGGCAACTAGATTCGTCACTGAGTACATGTTTTATCATGCTGCTAGTAAATGCATTTTCTTCCATTTATTAAGATTTTTGATGATCTGCATGACACACTGGATGATCTCAAAAAGCGCTGGGCAGGACGGATAAACTATTCTGTTGGAATACTGTGTCCAAACTGTTCTACGAACGGCAAAAAGGAATTGATCCCCATAAAAGATATCCTGACAGACCAGGATGAGTTTGCATCTTGTGATAACGGTTGCCCAATAGATGTTAGTGATTTCCTAAGAGCATTTAACAAAGGTTAGTATAAAGCTGTCTTTGATATCACACATATTTAATTCCCCATTTACAATTTTGAGGTTTTTGAGACATAGTATGTCAAAAAGGTTGTTTGGTATCAACGTGTTCAGGAAACCTCCCTGTATAACTTTTGGATGGACTACTTTGAAAATGAGTTTTTCCAAAAAAAAACACCCACATCGCACTTCCAAGATGGATAAATCATAACCAATGGCTATTTTAAGGTATTGGCTGTTATCTTGGACGACATTTTGAAAATAAAACCTTTCGGGGGTCCTATTTCTAAGCTTAGATTTTTAGTATGCTGTTTCTAATGTCAAACACTTTTTCAAAGGATACCATAAAGGACCTATTAGGTGTGTGGGCTATGTGACTGATATGCTAAATTTTACCATTCATGTGCTAATTCGCTTTACATTATGTATCTTGGTAAACGGGTGATGATGGTCAGTGGGATTTTCACATAATCCTGCTACTATTTTTGGCTGCATATGAGATAGTAATACATTTGTTATACCATATAACTACTTGATTAATAAAAATGATTATCAATTATATAACATCCCGAGCAAAAATTACGGTTTTAAAACGGCTCATATTTTAAAATAAATGTGTTTTAAGAAGCGACTGTGATTTAATGCACATAGCTGTTTAACATTGTTTAAACACACACACACACACTCAGATATGTAAATAGTTTGAAGAAGGAATCGAAGTGGTAAACATAAAATGATCTTATTCTTAAATTGGTAAGTACGCAATTTTAGTACTACGTTTTAATATTCCGCACATGCACAACTGAGAGAATAGCAACACATTTTGATAAATCAATTCAAGGGCATATCCTATACTCTGTTCTTTCTCCAATATAGCTATATGACTCATTTTAAAATGTGACTTTAAGCTTGCCATTGCAATTGCCTTAGGTTGATTTGCCAAGAGTAGGTGACATCCTGTTATTTTTGTCAACATTATAACGATCGGCACACAGGTAAAACATACCAACAAAAAGAGTACATAAAATAAGTGGCATCATCGAAAAGGGATTCTCCCCCACCCAAACCTTTCCAAATAATAATAATAATAATAATGGAAAACAATATTGAACTTAGATTAATTAATACAGATTTTGTTTTTATTCGACTCATTTCGCTAGCGAATAACTGAAATACAAGTAATAAATTGAGATTTTTTAGGTTTTAAAGGTGAATATGTGTGTAACTAATCAAGTTGAAAAACAGAATCATACAAGCAATTACTGTACATGAACATAATAAATATATATATTTACAAAGTTAACACTATTTCCTATTCCTACAATTAGGAACCGGGACATCACTGGGAAAAACTACACCTCGTCAAGGCGCATCAGCAGCAGCCGGTGAAGTCCTTACTTCTAAAGCCAGGTTAATATTCTTTAGTCTTATCGCTATAGACCAAAAGGGTATAAACGAGAATTGTTAACGTCCTGATTCGACGGTTTTGCAATGTCTTTATCAACTCCCACTGTGACTAGAATTATGATTTGAACTGAATGGTGTATTGGTACCCCCCACCCCTTACGAAAAGGAATGGGAAAATATAACAGAATTAGATGTGTAAGAATTTGACGACATAATACCATTTCCAGAGGAATAGTCAATGTAGTTTATCTGTGATGACCAAATGACAACTATTTGAGCGTGTCAGAATACTCAGATCAACCATGCAGAAACACACCAAGGTTGGACCTAATTTGATTATGTTCCCGTAATATGAAAAATTGATATTTTCAAGGCATCTAATATTCGAAAAAAGGATCAAAGTTGCCGGTTGAAAGCAATTGAAATGTTCATTGACTAGAGAATGAATACTCCAAACGCGAAGGAAGGAGGATTCTAACACAATCATACAGAATAAGCCTTTCAAGACCAATAATATCATTCTATGCCTCAAATGTTATTCAAAGGTAATAAACTACTAACCTATCCGCGAATTTACATTTGTGGATTGTGATTGTGTACCATGTATATGGTAAATCTTTTTTTTTGCTCTGCGCAGCGCGGCTAATTTTGGCTCTCCGTGGTGGCTAAATTTTAATGGAATTTGGTATCGAAACATATGCAAGACTCTAAGGGGAGTCTGCCCTCTGGCCTATTAGATTAAGATGTAAAGACATATAATTCACTCTTATCCTATTATTATTATTATTATTCCATGAGAGAAATAAATAGCTACAATATTGAATTTAAATAGTATCAATTCAATTTGACTGTTATTCATTCAGTACAATTTCAAGTTAGGGAAGTCATTTCATTTATAGTTTCCATATACAGATAAATTGTACTCAATTGTAGGAATGTGAATTAGAAATTAAATTAAACCTGTTGCAATAATACTGGTATGAGATATTACTCGTAGTTTGGATTACCTAACATATTATAGGAACTTATTACACTACTTAGGAATTTTAAAAAAAGTGTTCTAATAGTAACAGGGAGGAGATAATAGTTATCAATTATGATTTCATACAATGAATCACAGCTAGCAAATATGTACAATTGCATCTATTAAGAAAGTGAGAGAAAAACAAAAATAGAAGATCCAATGGAACGACGCAGGCTCAACGTTTAACGTTTTAACGTTTAGTTATATTTTGATGTCTTATGTCTTAGTAGCCAGTGAAGTGATGATAATACCGACCAAACAATCTTCAGGTGTATGCTTTTTGCCATGTTTTCTTTCAACTCAGGCTAATAATTAATTCAGCCACCTTAATTATCGAACTTTTACTTATTAAAGAAAGATGAATAAAATAATGATGTAATCAGAAGTAAATAAGATAAAGTTCTTGCTTTTAAAAAGAAATGAAGGTAAATTCAGTGATTATGAATAATGTATCTGATTTCGTGATTGACAACAAAAGTAAACAGTTGGTGATTAATCAAAGTACAGACTGTATATCAGATTAGAAATATGCCCAACCAAAAAAAAACATAATTATAGAACAATAGGCCTTTATTCATTCAAGTTTTTAAATTCAAGCATTTTAATATAAATTGTAGGTCACACAAGAGAGAAGTAACGGATGCGGAGATCGGCAAGTTATCCAAACTTTTGCCTGATGGAAAATGCAACGAGCTGTGCGGAATCTTAGGATTCGACTTCCACTACATACAGAAAATAAAGAAGAAAAATCCCATGGACTCCACGGCTGCTTTCGAAGAACTATTACAAGAATGGAAAGTCAAGGGTGAATCCGTGGGATATCTCGATGCAGCTTTAGTAAAAGCAGACCTTAAAGGACTTGTACCTAAATACAAGAACTAGTCATGACAAGGAGCGTGTACGACACTTGCTTCTGCAACGTCCCCCCCCCCCCCCCCACTCCGGGAACGGATGGATACCATGCGTGTTCCCAAAATCTCCGGCTCGTAACAAAAGAAAAAGGTCTACCCGTATTGACTTTACACACCGGACTTTTGCTGGAAAGGGGGGGGGGGGTGCTGGGAACACACATATGCGTACCCTAAATAACACTGAGTGGGGGGGGGGGGGACCGGGTCACCTATGTACACTAACCAATCTCATAGGCCCGAATTCACAAAGGAGGTTTGTCGACAAACCTCGGTTTATGTACGCCATATGACGCGTTTTGACGCGTTTTTTTTACAAACCTGGTTTTTAAAAACGCGTCGAAACGCGTCATATGACGTACAAAAACCTTGGTTTGTCGACATACCTCCTTTGTGAATTCGGGCCATAACGTTCTGGAATGAGCATACGGTTGAACGTCAATTGCTTGTGGACAAATGTTCCGCGTCGATCATCTACACTTACCACATTTTGAACTCCAAATAACCCCAAATAACCCAAATATTTACCTTTGATGAAATAGAGCCCGTAGAAGTAGACAATTTTAGTAATGTATTCAAATGTAATGCATACATGTTTTTTAAAGGCATTGTTAAACAATGTTAAATCTGAGATGCACGGTCCTACATGTTGTCAGTGTCTGCAATATGGTGTAATATTGAAGGCCTAAAAAAATTGCGCTTCAAATTGATCAAGAAGTGCCTCAAAAAAGTAAAAATCTTTGAGTAACCGGTTTTACCATACTCGTTTTCACTAATAGACTAGTGTTATAAAAACCGTATAGCAAAAGGTTTTCACAATTTGTAATTCCAATCGTAAATATCTTGATAATCAGACAGGCGATCGGCTTCTAAAAGTCATGGGGTTCCTGACTGACCTAAAGGTTTATAATTATGATCGCAGCATGAGCTAATTCCAGGATTTTGTTTCAAAATCTGAGACACAGTTACCGGATCCCTTTAAGTGCCACATTACAAATTATGTAATTCACCTGTTACAGATAATAGTACTTCAATAGCTAATGCTAATTGACTACATCAATTATGACTTACGAAGTGAACGAATGAGTGAATGAATGAATGGAGGTGGTTATTTTACCTAATCAATTATTACTAGGTAGGACAAACATTATGGTTAGTCTTACCTTACAACACGGAATGAATGGAATTCGCATATTGTCGCAGGAGAATGTATTGAGTCCCCAACCGGCTAGGATTCAAGCAGAAGTCACTACTATTTAATTTGCCTGATGCAATCACAAGAGCAATTAATTTTTTTCAGTTAAGTTTGTTTTTTTGTAAATACTGTTCCAGTTGAGTTAACCAAAATACACAATTGCAAACCGTTTATGCTTTCAATTGACAGGCTTTGTTGGTTTTTAGGAATGAAAATGTTTGTATGTAATCCATGATTTCTACTTTTATATTTTCCTTATACAGTTATATGTCATAGTAGTCTATCTTTATTTTTCATTGATGAGATGGAAATAGATTCAAATTTAAACAAATCTGTTAATGGTGAGAGTTTTTAAAGAACTGTCTGAAGAAATATGTAAAATGTATATATATGAAATATAATGATTAATGTGGATAAATGTAAAAATAACCAAATAATGATAATCAATATGTATGTAAAATGTATGTACTCATATTCAAGACCTCAGCCCGGTATTAACGTCTTATGGCATGAACTCAAGTCACATTTGCCACCCTCTATCCAGGTGTAAATGTGTACATTGGAATTGATGGGGGTTTCAATGACTACAGGGCCAGCAGGAAAAGCAGTAGGCATGTCAATTAGTAATGTGGTTACTAAATTAAACCCTATTAAGGACCATTTGTAAGGAGTTCACCTTTTCTATTCTGAACTCATTTGTTCATTAAGAGTGTTTGATTAAATTAATTGTAATAGAGAGGAATATTGGCTCGTACAAGAATGCTATTAGTCCGTTCATTATTTTTTCAGTCAACAACTAAACTTTTCATATCCTTTTCATATCAGGTTTGCAATTTCTGAAGTATGTGAGAAATTTATTTGTCCCGATTAAAATTTTCGGAGAATATGATATGTTTACATTTACCTCTAAACGTATTCGACCATGGCCCAAGTTAAACAAGTCAACCTTTTATTCTTGAGTTACAGAAAAAAAAAGGTTATGAATAATTCAGTTGTCAACTATATATATAAATATATACACTGTATACATTTATATGACGCATTATCATTTGTACATGAATTTGCCCGATGCAATGCTTTAAAGTTCAATATTTTTCCCACTTTTGCCCGTCTTTGGGAACACATCCCCCAGTCTGACCTTTGCTTAGAAACAAATGTAAATATAATTCCTCAGGCTATTCGTGAGTTATTTGGTGCTATGTCACCAATTGATAACGCCTTTTAACAAGATTGACACCTAGAGTGCTTTTTGTATTACTACCTGAACAACACAAGGTCATTTTATATTCATGATCTCATGATTTGTCGTTTGCATCTTTTTCGTATTTAATCATATATATCTTATGTCATTGATGTATATTGTGTATAGTTAAGTATTATACCATCAACTGATAAGGAGAGCTTCCTACAGAAACTCAGTTTCTGTTGGTAATCTTCAGGCATTAGTTGATGGCCTTTTCCCTGTTATTGTATTTATATTGTAATCATTTTTGTGTGTTCTTTGTTATTGTTATACTCCTGGATATGAAATAATAATTACAAAACAAAAACTTTTCCTACGCTGTTTTTATTACTTTCTGCCTTCTAATTTTTTTGCGACGTAATTATTTTTGTATTTTCTCTCTCTATGCGCCTTGGCGCAATTTATGTGGATAGGACCCGCATATTTTGATGTATAATTTGTTTGTCAAATTCAAATAAAATCATTACCTGACAAACCCCTAGAGGCAAAAACTTGTAAAATAAATTAATCTTTTATGGAGGATCCCTATTTATTGTGTTGTTGCGTATGTTCTCGAACTCTGAACAGAACTTAATACTTGATTACACATACATGGATATATCCACAAACATTAATTCATGTATATATCCCTTACAGCGTCATTAGAAGGACATTTGTAGTTACAAATTGAGTCATTAAGTAGACATGGTCATTAGGAGGACATTTTCAAGTCATGTTAGCGTACGTTTGCAGACAGAGGAAACTTCTTGGCCTCCCGAGACACGATAGGTTTATTCATAAGTCAATATAGTTTAATTATATATTTATATTGTTTTGAATTGCGGGTTAGGGTTAGGGCTAGGGTAATATACCACTTTTTATGATGTACTATTAATGTACTTTCTCTTTTCTTTTTTTTGGGGCCGGCTTTTTTTTTTTGGGGGGGGGGGGCGACCCCCCCCCCCCCCCCCCCCCCTCCTTGGCTACGTAATGATATAATTATGTTATGTTTTTATTTTGTCAGGAAATGGAAAAAATGGAAAATCTGTAAAGGGTGAACACAATTAATAATTGGCATTCGTTATTGTCCAAATCAACATTATTAGTGATAAAGAAAAATATGCTGGAAGGATGAAATAAAAAAAAGGTAATAGTGGTCCAATAGGTGGCTTCTTCGAAATTAGTAGGGAATTCACCAACATTAACAATAATTGCACCATGATTAATATATTTGCCTGAGGAATCCATTCGAGTAAAAACACGGAATGTCAAAGCTTTGACGTGAAAATGAATTTCATACTTTCTACTATCGTGGTATTGATTTTTGAGAGGTGTAACACTCGATCGTCATAGCGGAACCATGTTTTCTCTATCCCAGAATCCCGACTTTATATGTTTAACTACGTCCGCACCTGCACATATACGCACATACACACACAACGCAAAAATAGATAAACCCACACATGCTACCAAATCATGTGTATTACCCTAATCCTAACCCTACGTGTATCAGTAGACAAGTTTCGGTTTCATACTTATATACAAAACAACGTTGGATCCACAGCAAGGACTAGAATACACTTTTATAGTGTTTGGTACAGCATGTTCAAAATGTTAACCTACCCTTTTGAAAAAGCCCACTCCTCGACCATTGTAAATTGTGATTTTAACATTCTAAATTTTAGAGTGAGCATATGTTTTAATCTATAACTCATCGTTTAGTGAATACACGTATACAATTTTGCTGTAATGGAAAAAGAAAATACGCCGCGGTTTACCAGTCATATCCTAACAAGTCTAAATAAAAATATGTTCATCATGGTAAACCTGGATGAAATTTTCACTAAATCATTGTTACATAGTTTGTAGATAATGACATTGATATCTCGAGGCCCCAGTATTCCCTTGTTTTTCAAGGATTGGATTAACCTGTCATGCAAGATTTCAGAATTCTAAACCTGAAATTGTCCGCCCAATACAGCGCCATATTTTGGTGTATTATGACAGTGATTATATTATTTGTCCAAACTTCAAACATTGTGCATGTATTGTGACGAAATTGCCAGAAAATCGAATGAGAGGAATGTCACTATGAGAATATTTTTATATTTTACTTCATACCCACAATTGTCATTCTTATCACATTCTGAAAATTGGAAATGTAAACAAAAAGGGATAGTGTGGGATGGCCATAAAGTTTAAAGTAGAAAGTATGACATATGTTCTAGGAAATCCCACTGGAACGCCCCCCCCCCGCCAAAGACAACAACCCCATCACCCCGGAAAAGCCTGATGGTCAGTCATTCGTGGCAGCACAATTATGAATATGGTTTGATTCTATTAGTTACCTTTGGTATGACATATGAATCAAGGTCACATAGGATAACATATTTAATTAGAAGCTACTAAAAGTCGGGTATCTTTTTTAAAACGCAATGTATATCTCCTGAATCATTCACAGATAAATAATCCGTTTATCCCCCCCCCCCCAATATCTCAAAAGGTTGCTCTTACGACATTCATAACATTTATATTGTTAAACACCTATTCTAAAAAA